GGGCTAGAACTCAAGAGCAACTGTGCTGCTTCTGCAATATCCCTCGGAGGCCGCGCATTCCCACAAAACATGAAAATAAAAACGGCCCACTCGTTAGTTTAATACAAGCAAAACGCAATTTCCTGATGCGAATAACATTTGAGGTGTTGCTCATGCTTCAAAGTCCGAATAGAAGGTGATGAAGATGACAAAGGCTAGAAATGAAGAACAACGAATGTAGATGTAAATAAAACAAAATTGAAAAAACTAAGGAAACGCAAATTAATTAAAATCGCGTGTGCATTTCTGCGATCCGGCTCGAATCCGGCTCTAAAGCTATAGAAATACTTCAAACTAACGAGTGGGACGCTTAGGCCGTTTTTATTGTCATGTTCTGTGGGAATGCGCGGCTTTGCAGAAGCAGCACAGTTGCTCTTGAGTTCTAGCCCTCGTCATCATCTTCGGTTCTTATTTTGCAGCACCTAAAATGTTATCCGCATAAAGAAATTGCGTTGTACTTGTATTCCAAAGCGCAATTACAGGACTTGGCAAAAAGCCAAGAGAGCTGCACGCGACCGCGCCGCGCGGACGGTGTTAGCATAAACGTGAGGGCGGTGTAGCAAGGAATTACGACTTTCCCACGGCCCCGTACTCTGACCCCGTGCAGTTTTGGGCGGGGGGACCACGACACATCGACAGCTGGGGGGCTGATAGTCTCATACACCCTCAATGTGTTTGAGCGTACCATGTGTCTTTAAACAGCTGGTTGAAGCGACCGCGATTACTGTAGTGCTTCTCGATGACATTATCATCTATTCTAAGCCATCCAATCGCTTGTTAAACACCAGCATTAGGGTCAGCAGCTAAGAATATAATTTTATATCACAATAATATTGATAATTTTGGCGAAGTGGAACTAATGTAGTGGCAAGTGGCGCCATTTGCCGCATGCGTGGTCTAGGGGTCAAATCCCTGGTCGGCCTCCGCTCAAGCCAACCTAGTTTTTCGTGCTTGCTGGGAAAGCTGGTTAGTAATGGGCTTGTTAAAAAGATAAAAACGTCATCCTACATTGCCAACCCTCGACCCACCCGCAGGTCCTTCCCCTCCCCTCCCTATAGCGGTAATCTTCAAAAAACTGTCTCTGCTGATCAAACAACATTCTACTTCAGAGTACCCTTTTCAGGCGTAGTTGATCTGGGCTAACAGTGTTTTTCTTTGCAATTCAGAAACTGTTCAAAGCTATCGAAAGCGCGCGGCTCAGGCTTGTTCCAAGTTTTTTTTTCCGCGACTGCAGTTTGCGTAGTTTGTAACTCTTTTTGAAGTGGAACCTATGCGGTGCACTTCAAGATCCGGAGCGTCTTTTTTCGCTCCCTGTATACTGGCAGGGGCTGGTTGAGTTGATGATTGTAAACTGCTGGAAAGGGTTCGCGGAATTCGTTTTGTATGTTTTTGTTGTTATGAAACAAGGTAAACTGATAACTTTCAGACCCAACTTAAACGAACCAAACGTCCAGTGAAGACCCCGCCTCCCTTGATACCTTTCAAACTAGATACTTCGATTCCTTCGTCGAGTGTTCGTTGGCCTCCTCATCATCTTGGCTGATCTTTAACCCACTCAGTTTTCATATATCGCTATTGTTCCATACAACAAACCCCGATCTATTTTGCTAGATTTTGATTCTTGAGAAATTCATGCACATTGTATTCCCAGTATGCTGGTGACTCTGCTATTAAATGTTTGTCTGAGAACTGAGCAACGGGTTCAAATCTACGCTTGTACTGATATTGTCATTTTCAAATCTGTGTATGTTGACGTTAATCAATTACTCTGCTGTAAGATTAGTGTTGATGTCGACGACCTTGAGCTCCACATGTGGATTACATGATTTCTAGAAATGTTAATGAAAACAGATAATCTCGTATGTTGGAACATTCACCCACCAACAAAGTATTCTTTTCAAAACTCGTTGTGGTGCATCATTTATTCACTATGAATTTGCTGCCAAGAGGGTGATTACGTGTGATTACGTAAGTAGTTTCTCTACCTCTTCCTCTCGTATCTCTACCCTTCTTAGAAGAGTTGGGGAGTATGGCGTATTTTGGGGAAGAGTGGGGGATAGAATTCATTTCTGCTAGCAATCCGATATCAGTTGGAGGTGCAACTGACTCACTTACCACGATCCGGCGATCAAATTCCGAATCGGCTACCGCCCAAGCAAGGCAAACTCGGTCATATACGTTCTGAGAATTACAACAGGAGGGGCACGCCATCGTTCTGAGAATTACAACAGGAGGGTCATATACGACCTTGAGGGAGGGGGGAAGGGGTCGTAAGCCCAGGGTCTTTTGCTGAATCTGGCCCCTGAAGCTTAGGGTTGAGAAATTACTGAACTTGGCTAGCCCTCATACCTTTCAGAACGTCACATGTGAGTGAAGGTTGCTAACTCAAAACGTTAGCCCAGCGGAGTGCCTCAGGTTGTGGTGCTTATCACTATTTTGCTCCTTATCTACTGTCTCGACCTTCACAGGGCACGCCATCGTTCTGAGAATTACAACAGGAGGGTCATATACGACTTGCGGGAGGGGGGAAGGGGTCGTAAGCCCAGGGCCTTTTCTGAAATGGGGGTGCAGCGACACTAAGATGTTGTTCAGCTTCAATGATGAAAGACCTCCATGTGAACAACCCCTAATAGACACACACAAGACAGAAGCAACATCTCAGCGCAGAAGTGGGAAATGGGCCGAAATAAGATGGCCGCCCACAACGACGTCATGAATTAATAAACAGATGAAAATAACTTCTGACCTTTCTGATCGCAGGAGCGCACCTGCTTGCACGGAGGGCCCCAATGGCGCATTGCAGAGATGATGCCACTGGGGGGGCGAAGAGGGGGGGGGAGGGGGGAGATTTTTTTTGAATAGCAGGCCTAGAAAGTAGAGATCTTCGAAATTCCGGCACTGTTCTCCTTTTAACGAATGGTTTTGTATGTTATGGCTGTTCAAAGCGTTAGGACTCGTAAATGACCCCCAAAGATGACAACGGGATCACAACGGAGAAAATTCCTCATAAAAACTTTTTCAAATCGCTCGAACTCTGGTAATAAGAGTCAACCTAGTGCTCCACAGCCGCTCTCGCTCCTCCTCGAAGCTTCACTTTCAAAGAAGTTATGATGTTCAAGCGAAGGGTACTTTCGGAGTGCTTGGCTTGAGACTGCATCCGAACCGTGAAATAGCTCGCTCCAATACCACAGCGTAAGCGCGCTCACTTTGAATGACCGCGAACAGTAAATATTCAAGTGCTGTCACTTGCATTTTCCCACATTTTCTTTCTCTTTATTTGTCTTTTCACGCTCATTTATAATTTATTATTTTTGCTATTTTTATTTATGATTTACCATGGCTCATTCATCATGTTCCTCATGTTTGTCCATGATTAACGTCGCGTCTTTTTTTCAAAATACTTTCGCAGATCTTACATTTTCGATGTTTGTTTATTTGCTGCTGATCTGGATAAATCTGAGGAATTTCTTCGTATCCCATATTGGACATGGCCACTGTTCCCAATATCGGTATTGAGGCATTACTCTACAGAGTCGATTCTTGAGAGAAATTCGAGTGTCACCTACCTTTCGAACATTGACTTCTCCAATCATCCTACTATATATAATCCGCTAAGTGTGTCTGTTGGTGTGTGTGTATGTGTGAATGTTTGTCTGTATGTGTGTTTACCGGAAATTCATAACTTCCTTCAAAAGAGCGATGGAGCGCTCAAACTGATAAGTGATGTAGGGGGCAGGATGGGAACATTATTGGTGGGTGACAGGCCGTGATAACAGTTGATAAGATACCACAAGGGGCCTTAGAAGGAAAAGGTCACCAACTCCATAGCGCGGGCCACGGACGTTGGTTCTAAGAAGTTAGATAGGGGTCAGGATGGGACCATCATTGGTGGGTGGCAGGACGGTAGAGGATGCCCCGAAGTTCATGGCACGAGTTGTAGCAACACTGGGGAACTGCTTCCAGCAAGTCATTCAGAAGAGGTTACAGAGCATTGGAGGGATATAAGTTGTATATAGTGTGAGAAGAGAGCTTATAAGCATCAGTACCTGTTCGCATCCTTACTGTTCAGCCTGAACTTGAGCCGCGGTGCCAAAGAAGCAATGGGCAGGGGTGTTGTGAGTCAAGTTATTTCATCTCTTAGCGATATGGTTGGGACTGATTCGACCGCTGAGCTTTCCAGTTTCGACAAAAATCAAAAGCCCTGGAAGCTGCTTAACGAAAGTACTGCGATGTGAGGATATTTCACTATGATGTCCATGTTATTACCATCGAAACTCTTTCAACCGCTAAGCTGTCCTATTTCCAACGAATGGTGAATGTTTTTGAAAAGGTGATAAGCACCAGACATTAGAAAATGTTCATTAAACAGGAGAAATATAATGAAATGGGTCGTATCTCAAAAAATGACGATTGGGCCAAGTGTTTGGGGTCAGTACAGAAATCCTGTCGGCGATCAGTACCATTACCATAGATTCAACCACGCACTAGTGCGCGTCAGCCAAGCTAGTAAAAACAAGATTGTTGGCAAAGCTCTGAATTCCCTTCACTGCATGTTGAAACTGTGCACAGCAAGGAACTATTTTTCTCAAACTCTGTAAAGCATATGTGATCCCACAGCTTGAGTACTGCTGCCAAGTATGGAGACCATAAATACGTTAATAACAAATGAAAATCGAGAGAGTGCAACAAAGTCTCACAAGACTTCCCCAGTGTAGATGTGGACCCCCTCCCCCTCCCCTCTATTTATAAGAAACCGGGAACCAGTGCTTGAAGCGCGGAATCTAGGCATCAAAAGCACTAAACAGTGTTTAGCGATGCTGCTAAGCTCACGAATAAGTAGAATAGTGCCGCTAGTTTACAGAACAAATGAGAATCTATGCACAAAAACTTTTATTGCGCTCATATTAACGAAAAGTAAGTAGCTTCCCGACATGACAGCAGTACCAGTAAAATCACAGACGTCACTGTTTATCCCACAATACCGTGACAATTGAGTGTGGCTCAACGGTAAAGTGGATATGATGGCTTGTTGTAGCGTCATTGAGCGTTATGCTGTTGGGTGAAGTTGATCTGTTAATTAGCGCTACAGTCCGTCGACCTGAAACGAGTGAAAGTTGCTACTGATGGCTTGCGAACCAAAGGTCTTCCTGCATTTCAGTTGATAAGCCTGCGTTCATAGCTTGCGACTACGTCGGTGATCTTAACGTAACGGGCGTAATCGACGTACCGCCGTTCTCGGCAAATCGATATCTAATCCTCTGTCATCGGTTACCTTGATTGCGTCATTTACGGTGGATCGATACTTATCTAGTCTTAGTCACCTATTACGTCAATTACTCGGTTACGTCAATTACCGGTCATGGCGATTACGACGGCAGGGCACATCGTTGTTGGTGAATCCCCAATAGGGGGGTCGTATTATATTTGGCCGCCAGGAGAGGGGGGTCGTATTTGGGCTGGGAAAAATTTATTTTGATAGTTGATTTTTCTCGCTTCACGGACGTTGTAAAGGGGAGGGGGGGGGTCATACTTGGTCATTGTTGGGAGGGGGCGTACAGACTCGACTGAAATCCCCAACCAATGATGTGCCCTGTACGACGAACCGATAGGTATCCCTTCCTTCGAGAACCGACGTGATCGGCGACACCCTTCCTTCGAGCGGTGTCGCCGATTACGTCGGTTACTTCCGTTACGTCCATTACGTCGGATCGATACGTATCTAATCGACGCAGCACAGTCGCCCATTACGTCTGTTTCGTCGACGTCGGCAACGACGTCGCAAGGTATGATCACAGCCTAATGTCACAGTGGGTCATTCTCTATAATCTGGCATGGAGTACCCCTGCGGCTGCATTTTTTTACCTCTCTTTATTTTCTTCCTGAATCCATCCCTTACCGATCATAAGTGCTTAGCAGCCAGAGGCGAACTCTTGCACCTATTAACACCGCCGCGACTACGGTGGCAATATCGAATGGTATGACACTTTCACGGAAGAATACTTCCGATTTTCTTTACCAGTCATTCCGAGCATGGTCTTATTTGGTTCTTTGAAATTCGCCAACTTTCGGGAGGGAATTTTTGGAAACTCTTCGTTTCGCGAGACGTTGCTATTTCTACCTCAAGTATATCAGAACAACAGAGATAAGACATATCGTTCGTATCAGTCCTTTTCCACCAAATGTTGTCGCTCTGCAGCTTCCACATCCAGTGGAGAACGGGTTTTGGCGCCGCGTCAAACCGATTTCGCCTGACCCACCCCTTCTTCCGCAGCAAACGAGACTGTACAAGGTTGCAGGGCTCGCATTATACCGCCTTGAAATTTTCTTTTTGGCTCTTTTGGCCGCTTTCTTCAGGGACACTCAGCTTGGTAAAACGTGTTTCATAACTTGACACCATTTCACCATTTTTGTGTTCGTACATTGATTTCTTGAAGTAGGCGGGCTTGGATCGCTACAAGCACGATTTCACCAACTGTCGCCCACTTCAATGATTGGAGATGGGTTGAAGCCGCGCCAAACTCAGGCTCCTGTTACGTGCCAGCTTCTGCAGCGAAAGAGGACTCTAAGCCATACTACGTTGCCTCCACGATTGTGAATGAGAGTGATCGGACGGAGGGAATTTCAGTGTGAATCCTAACCTTTGTAGACGACAGCTGTAGCGAGAACGCTACGTGATCCAGTGACCGTGGTGCTCACACGAACAGCATTCTTTTTGAAGAACTTGCTAAATTACATGTAGGAATAATAAGAATAGTTTCGAATTCTACTTTAATTATTTGTCAGAAAAGGCGTATTAGAGGGTAACAGTCAAGTATCTCATATTCGGTCTGACCGTATGAAAGAAGGTTTAACCTGAAATGTCCCATAGCGTAGAACATGGGCTGCTTGTAAAATTCGTCCGACGTTGCGTTGACGATAATTGGCGAATCAACAAAATTATCGACAAAATTTGGGCCGCCCTTTTCGTTCAGACAGATGTTCCAATCGGTCCAGCCAGCAGCGAAGTTGTTCAAATCCTAGAATTGTTTGTTTTGGTAGAATAACTGCTGACTAACGCCGCTGTTCGCGATTCGAAAAGTCATCATGAGAATGATTAGTTATGGGCAAAAGTCAGATCCTAAAGGGAACTCGAAGCACAGAACCATCACCGGGTTCGAATACCGTGTGCGGTATGACTCTTGCCCATGACACAGCATTCTTGTGACAACGTTGCTTCCAGTTATCTGGTAATACCTTCCTTACAGGACCTGCATGGGGAACGCTTCATCCGCGTCGTGGACTGACTTACAGTCCTCATCATTGCAGGACCGGTGGGGCGTGTCAGCCAGAAGGAGCGCGCACACTGTTGGAAGCCGTTCTCAGCCTTTTGTTGCAACGCGTATGCGACAAAAAGTGGTAGAAAACGAGTAATACGAAGGAAATAGTACAGTAATGCACGTTGCCGCTCAAAAACTGGTGGCTGAACGATGTTGCCGAACCCGCACCAAACGCAGCCGTACTGCCACACCCCACCGGTCCACAGTGACGAGGACTGTAGGAACAGCTTAATTACCCATGGAATGGTTGCCCATGTAACTTGTAAAAACAATAGGAAGAGGAGAAGAGGATGTCCCACAGTTGTCATGCTAAGGTGGTGTTGGTCAGAGTCCATTGGAACTCCTACATACTTTTTATTTTCCCGCAGAAGTGAAAAGCGTGGATACGAATTTGAACACAGCAGGTTTCATTTTTGTGAGATATTCCACTTCAATACAACTTCCACCTTGTGCTGAACAAAAACACGATTACATTTATTAGGTCATCCCATTCAAAAGTGCCCAGATTTCATTCATCAAAAACGAAGAGGAATATGGATAAATGATATGGATAGGAAGTGATATTTTGGCTTCGAGTTAAGTAAATCCCTCCTTCACCAATGACCCGCTCCCAGTGCCCCGAAAGCCTTTGGACCTCTGGTACCTTCGATTTTTCAACAAGTGCGAGTAAATTGCTGTTGATGCCAATTTCGGCGAATGACAAACATTGTAGCGTTCGCGACTGACCACAACAATTGGAATCCAACGGCTTTATACTGGGCGAATGGAGGCGGTTGAACCCAGGTCTCAGTATTGTTTGTATCCCAGCACTTCTTATTCTTCAGCGTTTGTCCCGCTCTGTAGCGGGGTCCGCTCTCCTGATTTTGTTACGCCATTTATTCCGGTCGAATGCCTGATCAGGGTGAGCACCAACTATCTTCAAATCCGCGTGCAGCGTGTCAAGCCAACGTTGCCTGGGGCGTCCTCTCGGTCGTTTGCCGAGCACCTCGAGCTGGAGACCAGTTTTGCAGACGGTGTCCGCCTTCGCGCGAAGTACGTGGCCATACCATCGGAGACGAGATTCTCGCATTTTATCAACTATGGAAGCTACGCCAAACTTCTTGCGTATGTCATCGTTGCAAATCCGATCCATACGGGTGACACCGGCCGTCCAACGTAGCATTTTCATCTCCATCACACTAAGGCGGGCTTCGACTTCCTTGGTTGCAGGCCAGCACTCAGCCCCGTACAACGCTACTGGTCTGACCACAGTTCTATAAATCTTCGATTTGAGGTGCTCCGGTATGGTCTTGTCACACAGAACTCCAGTCATCGAGCGCCATTTCGCTGCACTCACACGAGAGTTCACCTCTGAGGTCAGACTGCCATCGGACACAATTTCTGATCCAAGATACTTGAAGGCTCTTGTGCGTGTGAGCTCGATGCCACTGATCCTAATGGAATCGGACTCATTTGTATCGGTCGTCAAGTACTCGGTTTTCTTGATGTTCAACTTCAGTCCGAATTTTGTCAGGCGATCAGACCAAGCTTGCACCTGCTGCTCGAGTTCGTTCTTATCACTGGCCAGCACCACATCATCTACGTCCAAGGACTTGGTTTCGTGGAGCGTCCAAGGACTTGGTTTCTGGAGATCTCGCGACATTGCATCCAAGACGACCACGAAAAG